GTATTAGCTATAATTCCTCCCACCTATTATTTTAGTATCTCCTTAAGATCCCATAATCCTAACCAGCATATGTCCATGCATGTGAAGATTATATTTTAAATCCTCTATTTTTTTTTTTCTACTTCTCAGTTGAGGCTATATATCACACTAGGTTTTAAGTTTATACACAATATATACACAAACTAAAGGAGGCATGGAGGAGTTAAAATAACATTAAGCAATTTATAAATTTATATGTCAAATTTATGTAGTATCTATTTCCTAAATTACCATAAGTTTAAACAGAAGATTTAAGCTATATATAGAGATAAAATTAAATTCAACAAATATTATAATTCACTAAATAAATAAATGTTAAAATATAGAATAAGTATAGATATGACCTAGCGAAGTAATATAGACTCCTTTTCACTCCTCTCCATACTAGTACAAGACTCACAAAACAAATACAAAAAAGCTAACCTCCACCAAAACTAGCTTCACACACTCACACATACACACACATACACACTCACTCATGTATCTCACAGTTGTCAACTTTCTAAAATCAACACTAAGCCTTCTATTTATAGAATTCCAAAATAATTGAGCTCACACCAAGCCTCCTATTTATAGAACACTAAGCCTGGGTTCACCCGTTTTCAACTATTTTTCATAGTGGCATTGGGGAAATTTGACATTACAACGCTCGATCTACAGCTGCAACACTCCTTGGGTAGCACCTATGCGCTAAGCTTTTTTAGCGCTCAACTAGGATTTCACAGTCGACGCTCTATAGTTCTGCAATGCTAGAGGAAAATGTAGAACTACGATGTTGGATCCGTGTCACTATGATGTTGGGTAAATTTTGATAATTTTGATCTATTTCCATCATAAAAAAAATGCTATAACATTATAATAATATTTGAAATTTGGAGTATACAATCTTTCTACTTATTAACCCTTCATGCTTAAGTACAATTAGGCAAAAATGAAAATTTTGAAAGTTTAGAGAGGTTATAAGGACGAATAGAACTATCCCTAGGCGCACCAAGAGAGGGGGGAGGGGGGTTGAATTGATAATTTTAAATATACTAATACAAATATCCCCTTTTTTATTTTAAGCAATATCACAACTTTTGAAATTTTGAGTACCTAACACCAGCTGCAATTTAAAAAAACTTGATTTTCTTTTTCAAAGTTTTGAAACACAAACAAATCAAGAGGAATATTTTTTTTTGCTAACACAAATTAAATCTAGTTGTAGAATGCAATGAAAATTTAAACTCAATTTAGAAATTTAAAGTGTAGAAAATAAAAGAGAATAAAAGAAAATTCAGAAATAGCACACTAGAAATTTTATGGTGATTCATTCAGTGTTAACCTACATCCACTCCACAGTATCCTCCTCTCTGGGTATTGCACTAATAATATTGTGACTCTTCTTTTCCCCCCATAGTAAGGAGGAGAGGCTCTTATAAATCACTTCCACCAAACTCAGCACAACAGAGAAATGAAAGCTACATTAACCTCCTCGTGACGGTAGTGAAACTTCAATCCTTTTTTACCCTCCTGGTAAAGGTAGAGAACCTACAAAATCTTTTTCATTCTCTTCATGATGGAAAGGAACCTTTAATCCTTTTTCACCCTCTTGGTGAAGGCAGAGAACCTACGACGTTTGACTTTGAAGCTTTTCTCGCAAGAGTAACTCCAAGAACTCACCAAGGCCACTAAAAGAAGCAAGGTGCAATCTTTCCTTGAGCAACTGTGTGAACACCCCTCACACTCCTCCCTCATGCACAACCTCACCTTCTCCCACGTATAATCCCAAAGCTCTCTCAAGAATTATTCCTCAAAGTCCCTTCAATAGCCAAAACTTTAACTTGAGATTTGGCTGAGTTACTTTAGTATAAGGCTTGTAAAAAAAATAAATTTTAATTAGGCTATCACTATTCATATAACACGATATAATTTCAGACAGTAAAATTATTTCAAAATAGGGGTTTGTCCAGTACGGTGGAACAGTCGTTCATATAAACTATTCAAATTCTATTAATTATCGTACAGTACAATTGTAAGTTCATACGGTACGATTAGTTCAATTTAATTCTATTCATATAAGATGATTACTGGGATGATTGGAATTTGTCTCTATCAATTTTCTAGTATGATTAACATTGTATTGTATGTTTACTTAAAATTTTAAGAGTTTATATAGTACGATAAACATCCTACTATACAGTTAGTTCAAAAATTAATATTGTCATGTAGCACGATATCCAGGATGATGATTGAATTTCATCTTTTTCTATCACACAGTAAGATCTATATCGTATAATATGATTTTCATATTTATTAAACATTAATTCAAATGAATAATCATAGGGAATAACTTAAGTAAGATTTTAAATATCATAAAATATAATTATGATCGTACAGTATGAATAGTTCAAAATTCATTTTTTAAAATACCCAAATTATTTGGCAGCTAATGTTTCCTAATGAAAATAAATTGTACAGTACGATATACATCATATATTATGATTAGTTCATAAGCATTAATTATAGTATGATCATAATTGTACGATATGATTAGTTCAAAAGATCTCCGGTCTCTTTTCTCACTCCCCTATGTGTGTGCACGGTCACCAATTTATTATATAACCTTATATGGCCGAACTCAAGAAATATAAATAAAAGTAAATGAAAAATATAGACTATTTTGAAAGACATCATATTCTACCCAAACTTGATCCTTAATCAAACGTGAGTGGTGTATGATTTACCTGAAATGTTAGTACAGATAGAACAACAATATCCAATATATATAGTAGAAGAAATAAAATTTCAATCAATAATATTTGTTATCACCAAAATCACAAGCTAAGGATCCTGGATTGCAACAATTTTAACAGTGCAAAAAAATATTCTTACTTGTTTTCAACACCATCAAATCCATAAAATTTCAAAATGATTATATCCATAATGCTACACCCCATTCAACAACAAATGCCTAAACAAATTAACAAATTTGAATATTTTAAAAATCTTGCATAGATAAAAATGTGATTATAAAATTTTAAGTGCATGATTTCGAGAAGCATTGCATAGCCCCAATAGTGTGCCACTGCCAGAAGCTATCTCAAAAAGAGGACCGTCACTTTAAAAGAAAGAAAATATAACAAATAAACTACAATGAAAATTATATAAATAAACTAAAAAATGTATAAGTGCATCATGTATGTGCACTAAAAAGCATGTAAATGTCTTGAAAGGTGTTTGAGTACACTATATGAATGCATCGAAGTCCGTGCAAGTAAATTGTGTAAAAATATTAAAATACCATACATTTCATTTAAATGAAAAGTCAAGTTCCCTACATGTGCTTCAATAAGTGCTAGATGCTCAAATAAAAAGTTTAAAAATATTGCACTGCATTAAAAGCAAGTTGAGCTAAAATCTCTCCATTTAAAAAATGTGCAACTATGATGCATAGCTCACAATAACTTTAAAATGTGTAAACTCTTTGAATTAAAATACTCACATGTGCTTCGACCAAATACATTGAACTCCTTAACCTAAGGTTTGAGAATGCTTCATGGGTTAAAGCAAAGAATAAATTTCAACTATATTCATGTTGAAAACATGCAAGTATGTCATATATTAGCATAAAAAAATATGTATGTGCACCAAGAAAATTCATTAAATGACATGAAAATGTATTATTTAAATGCACTAAAAAGTATGCACTCTAACTAAATTTATGTTTAAGTTCTTAAAAATTAAAATTTTCTACATGTGCTCTGACAAGTAAAATAAATGTCAAAACTTGTCTATGAATGCTGTGCGGATAAAATAAAATGATAGAAACTCATATCATATTTGGTCCTTAGCAAGCAGGATATCAAAGTGAACAAGTTCAAAAAATAGCAAAATGAAAATATTCAACTACCCTGGTGATGGTTGTGTTGAAAGCCAAACTTAACCTGTGGGAACTCTTATCTTTTCAAATATCCCCAAGCATAATATATATCATTTCAGTGCCTTATCCATATAAAAGTACAAAAATCTAGAAGGAATTATAAAAAAAGAAAACATGTCAAGTAAAAGAATATATCACCGATTAAACTAAAAGAAAAAATCCTTTAATCCTCCACAATTGTTTATCAAGGTTAAAAAATTTGAGAACATTTTTAGTTCATAAAAAACCAATATCCTGTTGGGTATATCACTACTATTTAATATCAAATAATTCTCATGAGTAATGGCATGACCTATGTCCTCTAATTGGTTGTTTTTATAGACAAATGACACCAAAGGTAAATGATTGTGACAGGAGCCCTCTAATCCAGTGGTTTTACATTAAAATGACACCATTAAATTATGATCACGATCAAAACCCATAAGTTCTTAATGGATAAAACTTTTGAATGATGACTTATAGGGGTGCACTTGATAAGAACAAAGTCCTTTATTTATTAGGGTCATCTTGAATTTATCTGCTTAGACAACATCCAATTTAAATCTATAAGGTACCCTTAGATTAAGCAACACATTATATCAACAAGAATCCTTTGGTCATGTTGGATCGATTAACTTTTTTTACTAAGTAAACCATGAGAAATAATAACCCGAGAAGACAAAAAAATGGGATCTTGATCAAGTTCACATTTTTTTCTTCCACAATCTTCTTTATCGATAGAATGGTAAATTTTAAATATTAATATAAAATTCGTTGTTACTATTTACTTGTTATTTAATGACTATCAAACAACTAGCTTTTATCAAAACTTTTTTTTCTTGCAATCGAGAGGTGTAACTAATCATAATAGCTTGTGTCTATAAAAAACCATTAAACAATCAAAATATCAAGTTACCTTAGATTTTGTGTATACATAAATTACAAAAACTATAAAAAAAAATTCTTACTACAACGTGTAGTTATGGGCAATAGTCATTTCTTACATTTTCAGTGTCTCTGATACCTGCATGCAAGTAAAATAATTTTTTTGTTTTATTAGACGGTCCTGCAGAAGACTTGTATGGCTTTTTCATCAACAGAGTTCGTCGGGAACGACCTCCAGAGTTCCTTGAAAAGATCAAAGGGTCAGTGTTTCATACAATGCTTTCTCTTTATTTTACTTGTATAAGAATCTGGAACATTTGTAATAACATCTTAATCATGCTTGTAACAAGCATCAATAAAAAATTTGATTATATTAAAATAGTTCATCATATGATGAGTTTTAGGCACTTGAGTTGGATAAATCATGTCATCCATAACTTCTGATTCAAGTTGTCTTTTTTTATAGCCTTACAAAATGGGTGCCATCTCCTGTTAAGATGACAAGCAATTATGTGAGGGAGAGCATCAAAACGTCACTTAAAAGGATGGATGTTTCTTCATTGGACATGCTTCAGTTCCACTGGTAAGTATATATGAGTGCTTGTATTTTTCCTATTCTACCTGTCAAAATTTGTATGTATGTGTATATATATATATATATAAAAGTAGAGTTCCTAACAAATCATTCTCCCTGTCAAAATTTGTAAACTTCAAATATGCAAAGAATATGGTTGATAAATTTAAGCTTTGGAATTCATTTTTGTTCTTCTGTTCATTCTTAAGTAAGAACGGTTACTTTTGATGTCTATTTTTGAATTTGTAATTCACATAATAAATTTGTCATATGCTAATAATACTTCTTATATATTGCATTCTCTTTTGGTTCAGTATTAAGCAAAAGTTAATAAGGCGCATCAATAATAGATTAGGATTTGTTTGGATAAACATGTGCATGTGACACCAGTTTTTCAGTGTAGTGCTACACGCTGCATTCTTTTTTGAACAAGATCTCCAGCTAAGCCAAAATTTTCTTCAGCATGTTCGCTAGATCGTGGAAAGCCTAGCTCCCAAAAGAGGCTTCCAAGATTATGGCATGGGTTCTTATCTCTCCAGGAAGACTTTCCTGGGGTTTTCTAAGTTACTATGATAGTGAGATGTCCTTTGTTGATGGTGACCTTATTCTCTTCTCCCTCTATTAGCTATAATGTGCTTTTCAACAATGGAGAGCTTGCCTCTCCTCTCTTAGATTACATCCACGTATCTCTCAAGATCTAATAAAGCATAATCAGTTTGTTACAAAGTAACTCAGTAGAATAAGAAAGGAGATGATGGTGAACTTGTTAACACAACCTTTCATATACTCGCAGCACAAAATAGCTATCGTGCTCAGCAGCACGAACTCCTGCTGCACTGTCTCCGCAGTCTGTCTCAAACGGCTGCCATACATTCTAACTACCTGTCTCCAATAATCTCTATAAAATTCATGTATTACATGCAAAAAAGATATACAATGAATATTGAAACTCATCTGCCTTCTTCTCCGTTCTTTCTGTTCTTCTAACCTTTACAGGGACTCTATCATGGTATCAGAGTGGTAACTCTGGGACAGTCTTCTTCTCCAAGCCGCTATGGAAAAATAGGGCTCCTCTTCCCATTTTAGGACAACATCCACTCTATCTTCCTCCATGGTTGCTACCATCATTCTGCCATCCCTCAAATTTCTGATGTCAAATCTCATGCTCATAGTGCACACTCAACTCACAATAGACAACTATGCCATCTTGAGATTACAGATCTACCAAGCGTTTGCGGCAAATGGCTTCGATGGATACATCATCGGATCTCTACTCTGTCCTCAAGAATCCTCCGAGTTCGGCTCAATCTCAGTTGACTACAAACTCTAGAAACTAGTCAACCATAACCTCATCTCAGCTCTATTCTCTACGATCTCACCCTCAGTGCTTCCTTACATTCTACATCTCAAAACATCACATAAAATTTGGACAGCCTTAGAGCTTCGACTGCAACCCACCAACCAGTCGAGAGTCATTCAGTTGAAAAATGAGCTCCAAAACGTTCAAATGCGACATCAAACGATTACACAATACCTGGTGAAAATAAAGTCACGGGTAGACAACATCGCTGTAGTGGGAAGTCACATTGACACTGAGGATATCATACTCTACACACTCAAAGGGCTGCCACCCTATTACAACCCCTTCAAAGCAGCAATCTGGACATAACCTCATACCATAACTCTTGAATCCCTCTACTCATTACTCTGTAGTGAGGAGATAAACCTGCAAACTGAGATATAACAGGATGTGACCACTACACCGGAGCATCAAGCTCTGTATATTTCCAGAGGCAGAGGACACACATCCATCTACAAGGGCAGATCGACCCACCTGTCAAATATGTGGAAAGCCAGGCCATATAGCACTGGCCTGCTGACATAGGTGCAACTCCAATTACACACCACAAACTTCAACTTCCCTTGTTGTTCTCACTCAGACTCAACCAAACTCGACCACGGACTGGGTACTCGACTCGGGAGCTTCGACACACCTCACGTCTGACATTGCGAACCTGCACCATTCCTTTCCATATCAGGGGCAAGACTCGATCTCTACAGCAAGCGGTTCCTCACTTCTCATTCACAATATAGGTGTAGGCCTCCTACCACTACCCGACTCTAACCGTAAGCTCAAACTTCAAAACCTTCTTCATGTGCCTTCCCTTACTGACAATTTACTTTCTATTTCAAAACTCAATACTGATAATAACCGCTCAGTCTCCTTTGATTCAAATGGCTTTGTCCTCAAGGATCTTGAGGACAACAAAATTATGCTCCATGGACATAATCAGGAAGGTATCTACCCTATTTTTCTTCAAAGTCATCTTCCAGTTCACACTCTCCGCACGACACCAGACTTCACCTTTTTCTGGCATGCACGCTTGGGTCACCCTCATCACCGATCGATGCTACATTTTCCAAGCTATTACCAACTACTAGCAGTAGCTTTCTACCTTTTATCTGTACTTCCTGTAAAGTGGCCAAAAGCCACAAGCTTCCCTTTCCAAAGGACGCAGCTCTTGTATCTACTCCCTTTAGCTTAATACACACTGAAGTTTGGGGTCCCTATCCTCTTCCCTCATTATTTGGGTACATATATTACATACTATTCATAGATGATTGCTCTCTCTTCTACTGGTTGTACCTAATGCACTCTAAAAATGAAACTAACATTAAATTCAGCACTTCTATCATTTAATAAAGAATCAATTTGCCTCTTCCATCCGCACATTATGCTCAGATGGAGGAGGGGAATTCACTGGTCATGACTTCAAAAATTTTCTCTTAAATCATGGCATCCGTCATGAGTTCAGCTGCCCCTACACTCCGGAGCAATGGTGTATCCGAAAGAAAACACATGCATCTCCTTGAAACCACCCACACTCTCCTACATGCTGCAAATCTGCCATCTAAATTCTGGGCTGAGGCCGTTCAAACATCCAACTATCTAATCAACAAACTACCAACCTCTTCTCTAAACTCTCAGATCCCCATCCAAATACTACATGACCATCCACCAACCTATGACCATCTCAAAGTATTTGGATGCTCATGCTTTCCCTGGCTTTAGCCTCAGACCCCACACAAAGTAGCACCTCGCTCCACACCCTACATATTCCTTGGCTACTCAACCTCTCACAAAGGTTACCGCTGCTACAAACCTCAAAATCAAAAACTTCATTTTTCCCGCTATGTCATCTTCAACAAACAACACTTTCCCTTCACAACTCAATCAACTGTCCACACCCCTCTCACACCAGACTCCACTCCACCTCTCCTTCTAATTCCCACCTCCACATACTCCAATCCACCACAACCAACTCCTCCCAACTCCCATGGATCAACGACTCACATACATCAACCCACTCCCTCTCAACAATCTACAATTTCCCCCAACATCTCTTAGACATCTAACACACTCACATCCAGTTCCACTACTTCCTGCCCTGCACCCAAACATCCTATGCAAACACATATTCAAACTGGCCACCTCATAACAAAAAATAATATTCGACTTACTAGTTGTAACATATACAGGTCTTACTCCCTCTTGCTACACTCAAGTTGCCAAAGCTTTTCATTGGCGCAACGCAATGTCAGCCGAGTTTATGGCCCTTCAAAAACAGGGTACCTGGCATCTCACTCCTTCTACCAGTCATGCCCCAGACCTCGGCTGCAAGTGGACATAAAAAATAAAGTTAAACATAGATGGCACAATTCATCGCTACAAAGCACGACAGGTTGCTCAAGGATACTGCCAATAATATGGTATAAATTACTAACAAACCTTCAGTCCTATGTCAAAGATGCCAACAATCTGGGTTCTTCTCATCATTTCCTTCCAAAGGAGCTGGCCAATTCTCCAATTCGACGTCAATAATACTTTCTTCATGGAGACCTCCAAGAAGAGGTCTATGTACAGCAACCTCAAGGTTTCATTGATCCTAAGTACCCCAATCATGTGTGAAAACTAAACAAGGCCATTTATGGTCTTAAGCAGGCGCCACGCTAATGGTTTCACAAACTGACAATGTTCCTGCTCAACTTCGGCTTTCAATTCAGCAAAGTCGATCCATCCTTGCTCATCTACAACACTCAGGACATTAAACTATAACTACTAGTATATGTGGATGATCTCCTTCTGACGGGAAATCACGAACCCACCATTTAGGTGCTCCTCTACCAACTAAAACAGACGTTTGCACTAAAACAAATGGGAAAGGCCAATCTTTTTCTCGGTATACAGATTCAGCATACCCCAGCAGGTCTATTTTTACATCAAGCACATTATGCTAGAGAAATCCTTCACTCTTCTAGACTGGACTCATCCAAACCAGTCAATATTCCAATCTCTCTAAAATATTCTTGGTTTCCCACAGACCAATCTTTGTATGAGAACCCCACCTTCTATCGTAGATAGCAGGCTCCCTGCAATATCTCACCGTGACGAGGTCGAACATTGCCTTCGCCACCAACATCATTTGTCAGCATATGCATTGCTCGACAGCTACAGACTTCAAGCAGTTCAAATGCCTTCTCAGATACATCAAAGGCACTCAAGATTATGGAGTACCCATTTCTGCTGGCCAACTGACTCTCACAACATATGCAGATGCCGACTGGGCATCTAGCACGGAGGATAGAAAGTCCATCATAGGATTCTGCACATACCTAGGTCCAAACCTCATATCATGGAGCGTAAAGAAACAAACCATGATGGCCAAATCTTTAATCGAAGTAGAATAAAGAGCTCTCACTGCTGCAACCTATGATGTTATATGGCTACGCCGTCTCCTACATGACTTTCATGCCTAGCAGTCTCAACCCACAACGATTTTTTCGATAATGTATCCGCCATCGCCATCGCAAACAACCCTACCTTTCATGCCAGGACCAAGCACATCGAAATAGATCACTACTTCATCAGTGATCACATTCAGTGCAAAGCAATCGACGTCTCCCACATAAGCTCCTTTGATCAGCCGGTGGATATTCTAACAAAACCTTTAACTAGACTCAGGTTCGCTGACCTTCGCAACAAATTGACAATCTGCAAACCAAACAATCAATTTGAGGGGGGGTGTTAACACAACCTCTCATATACTCGCAGCACAAAATAGCTATCGTGCTCAGCAGCATGAAATCCTGTTGCAGTGTCTCTGCAGTCTGTCTCAAACGACTGCCTGACATTCTAACTACCTGTCTCCAATTCTCTCTATAAAATTCATGTATTACACGCTCAAAAGAAATACAATGAATATTGAAACTCATCTGCCTTCTTCTCCATTCATTCTGTTCTTCTAACCTTTGCAGGGACTTTATTAGAACTTGTCAAGTTTATGATGAGCCCACCATAGTTGTACTAAGTCCAAAGCTTGCTAAATATACAATGAATGCACAAATGTTGTAATTAACTTAACAGATTCACGATGTAACTAAGGCTTCATTTGGGACGACTCTCTTACTGCTTCTTAAAGCGGATTTTTAGCACAAACATTTTAATTTTTGTACTAGAAAGCCGCTATAAGAAGCAAGAAGTAAGCCATCCCAAATGAAGCCTAAGAGTGGCATGCTCGGTGCAAAGCTTGCTATTCATATAGTGAATCGTCGGGCTTATAATGAGTTGGTCATGTTTGTTTGCCAAATGCATAATCGGTTTAAATCTCAACTATGTCAAATTACAAAAGCACAAAGCCCACTTTTCTAAAGCTACTCATCTGCTCTTCATCTAGAAAAATCAATAACTTGACCCAACAAATTTGATGACTCTGCCTGGCCAGTTGGCTATTAAGCATCTAAAAATTTCATACTAGTAATTGACTTGGCTGATTGTCCATATTTTTTTTTTTACATTTTTTTGCTCCATGCGTGGTGTATTTTGATGTGTTTTTTTTATTTCTTAAGTAATCTTTTCTGTAACACCCAAAACTTTGGCCTGAATATAGAAATAGATAGTCAAGAGGAGTTTTTGGAAACCAAGTCATTCGAAGGCAATCTGGTGAAATGTTAGAGCTTCTCACTACAAAATTCTTTTTTTATCTCTAAAATGTTTATTCTATCTACCTTGTAATTCTTGTTATCAATGTTATATTGTTTCCTATGAAAAAATTTGGAAACAACATCATATATGGTTTGGTAAGCATGAATATATGGTAATAAGTAGAAACTAAGCATTACAAGGATCACAAGAGCGAAACAAAGAAGCCTCATGGAACATGGAAAACCAAAGTTTCTTGACAAACAAACAATCTGCATAGATAGAAAAATGTATTACAAGAAAGATCCATGGACCCAATCATTGGTAGGTATTCTTGAGAAATCTTAAATATTCTCACTCCAAATTTTTTTGTTTTTTAATCACATAACTTTTCATCTTATCTTCCTTGTTATTCTTGTTATAAAGATTATGTTATTGTCCATGAACAGATTTGGATCCAACATCTTCTAAGTTTTAGTGAGAGCGAATTGATGACAATAAGAAAAAGCCAATCATTATAAGGAGCATAATAATGAAACAAAGAATCATGGGGGAAGCTAGACAACAAAAAGTTTTATTATATATAAATAAACTACATGAATTGAAGAAAGTATAACAAGAATAATCAAGGGATGTTTGGAGCATGTTCCTAAAATAACTCCAATGGTAGAGATATTAAAGGGATCTTCAGGTTGAATAGTTTGAAGGCAATGAAGAGTACAAGAGCACTAACCTCTAGTTCAATATTAGAGGAAACTTATAGTTTAGATATCAGTGAAGTATCCAATCCCCCTCCGTGATGAATTGGGAAGCAAACCCAATGGACCTGTGAATTGTCAAAGGTGAAACCTCCCAATAAGTTCAAACTCAACTACCTTGAATCATATAAAAGGAGGATGGATCATCCTAACCATGTGTCTTACTTTTAGTTGGCAACCTCCATATTGAACATCAATGATGTGTTGAAGTGTCACTTATTAGTTACTACTTTCAAGTAATCATCACTAGATGGTTCATTCTCCTTTTGCTAGGGAAAATAACATCATTTGCAAGTTCAAGAGGTTTTTATTCACTCAATTCACTACTATTTTAAATTATTGAAGAACTCACAAGGTATAAAATATCGATGAGACAAAAATTTAAAGAGTATAAAAATTTATTACTCACTAATAACATGATATTTAAATGTCAAGGATTTAGAACTTATGGTCACTCTTGCTATGCTGATCTTGGAGCGATCTTTCAAGTATGCACTATGATTGAAGTAACCCAATAAATTAACAGAAATATTATAAGTCACCAACAATCACATGTATACATAAGAGTAAAATCATATGGAAAATAAAAAATCTCGATATTATAAATTTGGGAATTCATGATGGTATCAAATCTATTAGAATTGACTCAAATTCAATTTGGCTAAAGTAAAACTACCATGACACTCACTAGAATCAACCACCACTTGATTATACTAAGCCATAAATTGAACATTGGTACACAAGCACATTTGTCACTATGAAACTAATCTTTTATGGTCTTCAAGAATGTCACCACGACCTTTTTGGGTCTCTTATGCCGAATTGGTAAACACGATATAAAGAATACTTTTGTCGACCACCCACATTATATACACAGCTTCATATGTCCAACCTAAGAAAATATTATGCTTTCCATAAATAAAATGTTCACATCATGGAAGGTTGTTAGAATTTGTTGATTGGTTAAAGGCGGTTCAATCCTGGGATAGGGGCATGTTGGGTTTGGGTTTGAATTTCTAACACATTTTCCAAATCAGATCTGGTTTGGGTCTAGTCAATTAAAGGCGGGTCGGTTTACGGTTGGATTTGAACAGGACCCAAAAACCCATTTTGACATCTCTATAAAAATGGAAACCTTGTACAAATTGTGCATGATTGCAACTCTAATAGAAAAATGACGGTTCTTTTTTTTTTGGGGGGGGTGGGGCAAACTCACGAACAATTATTACGTCCTCCGACCGGACGTAGAGGAACGTCCGGTCGGAGGCAAATTCCCGCCAAAAAATGAGTTGTACCGAGCAAATACCGAGCAATACCAAATAATAATGAAGAATACCATCATTTGAAGACCCAATTCCGAGTATACCGGGCTTTACCGAGTAAATACCGAGTTATACCAAAGTTGTACCGAGTTTTTCCCTGAAAAACTCGGTACAACTCGGTATTTCTCGGTACAGCTCGGTATAACTCGGTATTGGTCTTCAGAGAACGGTATTCTTCATTATTATCAAATAATACCTAGTTGTACCGAGCAAATACCTAGTTTTTAGACGGAAAATTGCCTTCGACCGGACGTTCCTCTACGTCCTTGCACCGAACGTAATAAAAGTTCCAAACTCACACACACAATACCCAAGACTCGAACTCAAGATCTCTTAGTTGATAGCTCTAAATCAACAGACTAAGATGAGCTGTAAATGAAAGATCCAATAAAATGCTCAGCATTTATTATTTTGGGAATATTTTAGCAATTTCCGAAACCAAAATTGGCTTTGCAAATATCATCGATATTTAGGTTATGTAAATCACTAACTATTAAATAGTTATAGAACATCTTTCTTGAAGTTAAATTTGATGAATTACGATGTAGGAAATTTTAAATTTATTATGTGATTTTTTTCATTTTAATCTATCTCAATCATTGAAAACAAAAAAATAATTTAATTACTTATACTAAAAATAAATAATTTCTTTCTAATAATCTAAATAAACAATAATTAACATTCATTACTTTCAAAATAATATTATTTTATTAAACTCTCTAATTTTCTTAAATTCTGTATTTAATTTAAAGAAAAATGACACAATTTTAAAATCGAACTGTCAAAAAAAAAAATTCTAAAATCCAATCGCCGGAAAAAGAATTTAACTATATTCAGTTGCCCGAATATAGGAACTGGCTGTCAGTCAATAGTCGGTCACTGATAAATTCGGACGACTGTACAAGATCTTAAACTTTTTTCTCTTATTTATTTTAATTAACGAATTTGTAATGTGCTAGTTTTAAAAAAATTGTTCTTGAAAAAAGCACATTTCGAAGACGATAGGCAATAAGTATGTTTTCAATTACCTCTACAAATGCTGGATGCAAGAAATGGTAGCTTTGTTTCTTTAGTTCATTTCTGTATTTTAAGTTGGTAAATTCCTTTTTTAAAAAAATAGGTGGGATTACTCCAACTCTGGATACCTTGATGCTCTCAAACACTTGGCCGATCTCAAGGTGGAAGGTCTGAGTATTTATTTGTAAAAATTTCACCTAACACTTTATTAGGTTCTGATCAGATTTTAAATCAATTAATTAAGCACGTACAGGTAAAATAAAAACCCTGGGTTTAACAAATTTCGATACGGAGAGATTACAAATTATACTGGAAAACGGTATTCCAATAGTTAGCAATCAGGTAATAAGGCCTTTTTTTTTTCCTTCAATTATCTCATAAGTTCCATAGTTATCTTTCATGCCTATGCGTTTAAATGATTCTTCCAGGTGCAACACTCTGTTATTGACATGCGACCTCAACAAAAAATGGCAGAGCTTTGTCAGCAAACTGGAGTTAAACTTATAACGTCTATCCTTCTCTCTCTCTCTCTCTCTCTCTCTCAAACACACACTCTCTCTCAATATATTCAGCTATCTCAAACGCAGATTAAGACATCATTTTAATATGCTTACTGATGCAGGTATGGAACTGTTATGGGTGGCCTCCTGTCTGAGAAGTTCCTAGATGTCAATTTATCAATCCCTTTTTCAGGCCCTACTTTAAATACCCCATCTCTGAAGAAGTATAAAAGGGTAAAAGATGCATCTAATATGGACAGATTCTATTGCAAACTGGTTTCCATTAGATCTTTTCTGATTTCTATTATCTGGATATTTTAGATGGTTGATGCTTGGGGAAGTTGGAGCCTCTTTCAAGTTTTGCTTCAAACACTGAAGAACATTGCATCAAAGCACGGGGTTTCTATTCCTTCCGTAGCCGTTAGATATGTTTTGAATCAGGTAATAAATATTAAAACTTCATAATATTTACTCATAGCTGATAAATAATCATAACTATTTTTATTTACTTTGTTTCCTGAAAAGATACTACAAGAAATTACGAAAAGCTGGAAATGAAATTCAATCCAAGTACATCATTGCGTTCTCAAACTTATGTATTACTGTCATTTGATGTCATCTGGATGATTGCAGGCATCAGTTGCAGGATCAATGGTTGGAGTTAGGCTAGGTCTATCTGAGCATATAAAAGACACATGTGCCATATTGTCCCTTGATCTGGATGAAGAAGATATGAGAAGTATCACAGAGGTGTCAATGAACGGGAGAGATCTTTTGAAAGCGATCGGAGACTGCGGTGATGAATATCGCTAGGCCAAAACACTTTTTTTAAGCACCTTTTAAGTTTAGAAATATACATATAAATAATATTTTATATATTTATCCAATAAGATGTAGATCAAGCCAGATTTAAACAATAGGTCTTACGGTTTGTTCGCAGAGTACGAAGATATTCGTGTTTGATAATTATTCATAATGAAAGGAATTCGCAGGATCTTGTGAATTTCGAGGAAGAAACAAGTTGTATTTGGATTATCCCGACTTGTGGGACGAAATCCGCCATTTGTAATCTACAAAAACACTAGTGGAACTTTGCAACTGGGCGAGGCCCCGTGGTTTTTCCCATTTTTGGGTTTTCCACGTAAAAACGTTGGTGTTCACTTTCTCTTTTCTGATTGTGTGTGAAATACTCGTGCAACGCTAAGACGTGAATTTAGAAACTCTACCGCCGCGTATATTCTCGCACGCAACAATACTAACGTTGTGCTTTCACTGAACATCAGAACAATAATGAATAAACTTCTAAGGAAGTTTAGCGGGCTGAATTTTTGTAAGAAAATTTGATTTTTTATATCCTTCAAAATAGAGGAATTTAGACTAATATGCCTCAGTATATATTTTCTATAAAAAATATTCCTCAGTGCTCCATTTGCATAAAAAAATGCCTTTATATATATGTGCATTACTCGAACTGTCATATTTCAAGCATTTTCTTTGCCACTTACTGGGACATAGTGATATTCCGAAGCCTTCAACAGGCATTTCCTCTTGCAAGGTATGCTTTAATATTTGTCTTTACTTGAATCGGAACGCATGATTGTAGTCCTTATAGCTTACGGTAGGAACGAAAAATAAGGAGATGGGTTTGACAGCTATGTTAAAAAAATATATATATTTGAATAGTTGGTTGGAACTAAAGGTTCAAAAAAGAACTTGTTACAATCGTAAGAGGTTCAAATTGAAATTTAAACAAGTTTCCAATTTAAGTATTTGGTTTGAACAAAGTTTGAGTATGGGGTTCAACCATTAGAATCGGATTGAGGTTTGAAATAAACATTCAAACATTAATGGAACTTCATATTCATAGCTTCCAAGGTAAATTTACAGATTTGTTCTTAAATAGTTTGGATCCTCACGTTGTCCGATGTATTATAATACTTACAATTATGTTATTATAAATAATTGTATAGCTTTGTAGAATGATATTATAATACATGTTTTGCTTCTTTTTTTTTTATTGCTCCGTCGATCTTATACTATGATTAATGCTTTTGAAGTGGCAATTTCTTGTTGGATAAGGTTCGAAGCTTATTGGAACCTTTTTTTTAACATAATTCAAATTTAGTATGGTCTGATTACATTTGAACCTAATTCGAACCTTTTTAGACCATGTTCAAACTTCATTTGAACCTCTTTAAAACTTAAGAGTCATATTCGAAATTTTTCATGCCAAGTTCAAATCTATTTGTCTATATAAACCTTGTTCAATCTGGCTTAAATCTAATTTGAACATGATTTAAATTTTATTAATATAGGTTCATATGCCACTTTTTCTCTCAGGGCTCCCGCTCTCTGTTAGGGCTCCGTGATAGTGGCGCTTCCGCGCCTCCTCACCGATTGTTCTTCCAGGGAAGTTATCTTTTCTCTCTTTTCTGATTTTCTTTGTTGTTCGTTTTGTCACCCTCCTTCGGCCCCCTCGGCCGGAATGGTGGTGAAACGCCTGTGCGGCCCTAGTTTTTAGAGGGCCCCTCAAATCTTGTTCCTTTCTCGATGTTCTTGATGGAAGTTCATCTGATGGGAAATTTCCTAATCCATACCTACTTCTTTTCGGGGCTTGTCGTCACTTTGGATCTCGGAGGAGGAAATCACAAACTTAGCGGTCCCTTTTCCATTTTCATTAGTTGGTTTTTTTTCCTCTAAGCTCCCTTCTTTTGAATCCATTCGTAGATTCTTCTTCAACCTTAAGCTGATTGGTGAACGTCGGTTACCTTTCTTGATCCATCGCATATTTTGATTAAAATGATTAATGATATTAATTATAGTATAGTTTTCTATCATAGATCTTATTTAGTTAAGAATTGTTATATGAAATTGACCAAATAGGCTCCTCTTATTTATGTTGGTGATGAATCATCTATTATTCCTAGTTGGGTATCTTTCCCTAAGCTTCGCCCTCATCTATTCTCCCCCTGTATCCTTCATGGCTTTGGCGCGCTGTTTGGCAGACCATTAAAGGTTGATAACACTACTTATGTTGGTTCACATCCTTTTGTTGCTCGCGTCCTCGTTGAGCTTGACATCACAAAAACTTATTCGGATAAAGTGTGGTTGTGACTTGAGAAATTTGACTATATTCAACATGTTGTTATGGAGGCTTTCCCCTCGTTTTGTGCTTCTTGTAAATGCATAGGGCATTTGAGTAGTAATTGTCAGCCTATTTCTGTCCCGCCTACTATTTGTCCTAATTCCTCTAAACCTCTTAATGTTAACAGTAATGCTAGCTATGAGGGGGTTAGGATGGGTAATGATGTTTCTTGTGGTGCCAATGATTTGGTTCAGTCTTTGGGTCCTAGTGATGTTGATGTCAGGCAAGATGCTGGTATCTCGGTGAAAGCTGCTAATCCTGTAGCTCCTATCTCACCCTTGAATGACTTTGTTTATGTTGAGGAGGAAGTTGCACCTTTAGCTAATTATGTTCCTGTGAATATCGATTGTGCTAATATAGATGATGTTGATGTTGTTGATATTGAAAGGAATGCCAATAACTTTGCATGAACCTTAAAGCTAGTCTTACTTATGCTGATGTTGTGGATGAGTCGGATGACAGCTCGATTCCTTTAGCTGCTTGGGGTGTTGGAACTTCAGTGTGGCAGGGTAATTTGGATGTTGTGACTTCTAGGTTGTTTAATTTATTTAGTCATACTTTAGTGTATTATGTGGGTAGTGTTAAAGTTGAGTTGCCTCTAGTTAAAGTTCATATTTCTGTTATTTCCAGTGATGATATGTTAACTCACCTTGCTAGGAATAATGTGCTGCTGTAAGGTGACTTCTTAGAAGATGGAAATTCTTCTACAGGAGGGGAGGATATGAATGAAAATAAATTTCAGGCGCTGGACAACTTTGACCTTAGTCTCCTTCAAATTGCGGATGTTGGTTTTTTTAAAAATAGTGGTAAGCATAGAAAATACAAAGCTAAAAAGATATTAGTTTAGGCGTTGGAATGGTGCTGTAGGTTTTTTTTTGTAGGTGTGTTGACCTGATGGTAATTTTGTTGTCTTTTATTTTGGGAGGTTTTTGCAATGGCTTTGTTCTTTTTTTTTTTTTTGTGGGTTATATTCGGGTGGTTGATGGGCACTTATATGTTGTGGATTTAATTATGTCACCAATTTTGCATTTGGACAATGATGAAGCAAATTTCCTGCATGCACCTTGGACGGCCTGTTGAGATTTGTTCACTATGAATTAGGTTGTTAAACCTAAGCTTATGTCCCAAGGCTATCCAAGAGGGGGGGGGGGTGTGAATTGGTATTTTAAAAAATTATCCCTCTTGCGTATGTTGAACGGAAAATAAATTTTAATGAATTTTTAGAAAAAGTTTTCAACCTCAATTTTTAGAATTAAACAAAATGCGGAAAATAAAAAGCAATAAAAATTTAAAAGACACAAGATTTATAGTGGTTCGGTCTAAACCAGACCTACATCCACTCCCCGGAAGCACCCTCTGAGTATTCCACTAATACCACTAGTGACTCTCCTTTAGCACCCACAACAAGGCGGAGAAGCCTTTACAAAAACTCTTTCCACCACTACCCGGTGCGGCAGAGAACCGTCTTCCTTTTTCACTTATCCCCAGTGTTGGCAGAGAACCGTCTGTCCTTTCACACTCTCCTAGTGTTGGCAGAGAACCCTTCTTCCTTTCACACTCTCCTAGTGTGGGCAGAGAATCTTTCGTCCTTTCATACTCTCTTAGTGTGGGCAGAGAACCCGTGGTTGTTCACACTCTCTAAGTGTCGGCAGATAACAAAATTTCCTTTTACACTTATCCCCAGTGTTGGCAGAGAACCGTCCGTCCTTTCACACTCTCCTAGTGTGGGCAGAGAACCCTTCGTCCTTTCACACTCTCATTGTGTGGGCAGAGAACCTTTCATCATTTCACACTCTCCTAGTGTGGGCAGAGAACCCTTGGCTGTTCACACTCTCCAAGTGTCGGCCATTGAACCGGTTCTCCTTGACAGATCTTCTCACAAGAATTCTAGAAGGGAGAAAGAAAAGAGTGAAGTAATATCAAATCACAAGTAGAGATTCCTACCTTTGAACACCAAGCGAAGCCTTCACGCTCTAGTGGTAGGAATCCTCCTTTGAATGCTCTCTCACACTCTCTCCTTGACTCTTCTTTCAATAGCCACGAAGATCAAATGGCAAAAAGATTGAGTGACAGTAAAAATTGGACCTTATATAGGATAGACAAGAAAAACCGTCCAAAACTACAAAATATTCAAGTTAACACGAAATGGATCATCCCGTACGATCGTGGATAATCCTGGATGATTTTACTTAAAGTGTCGGAAACGATCCTTATGCATATTGGTACGAACTATGTTCGTACATGATCATCATCCCTTACGAACTAGGTTCATCCGATACGATCAGTTATTCCATAGGTCGGTTCTCAAATAACTGCATGGACGTAACAAACTTTAGTAAGTCGGTTCACATCATCTTGGGACGAACAGGACTTCGTACGGACAAAATTTTTACAGAGAGCAACTCATCCTGGCACAATAATGAACTTCGTTTGAACGAAATTTTTACAGAGAAGAATTCATCCTTGGACGATTTAGATTTCGTCTGGATGAAAGTTTTATAGAGCCTAACTCGTCCCAGGACAAAATTAATTTTGTCCTGGACGATCAGGACTTAGAAAAATTTCCTCCAAATCTTGTTCATTCCATTGCTCCTATGACGAGATAACTGACCTACTTGTCCCGAACGAACTAGGTTCGTCCCGTACGAACTAGGTTCGTCCTGTACAATGATCTGTACAAATTTT